AAATCTCTGAGGAAAGATTAGTTCTGCAACAACATATAACAAAGCCAATCTGTATGATAATATCATACATACAATAGCATCAGTGCCCATTCAAATTTTCTTATACTGGTTGCCAATATCTGAAATAAGTGGACAAAGGGGTAACTTTGGTACAGCATACTTAATTAGGTGATATCCTATCTTGTTCTATTGAAAGACTTTTCTGCCATATCTGTGGTTGGATCTAAAGTTGCCTTCTACATGTGGATGTGTCTGATGCTCAGAGAAAGGCCATGGTTGTGTCCAGACAGGCAGGTTGCCATGGCAGTATCCCGCGGAGAAAAAAGCCGCTGGAGTTAGGTGCGCTTCACAGCATTCACACCGGTCCCACAACGCCGACTGCATCGGGTAGCCAGCCCGTGAGTGCCAGTTCACATCGCTACCATACAACTGGCACGGAGCCATGGCTGATGCGCCCCTCTAATTGGTTGGGTTGCTGAAAATGGCATACTGCCGTGCCAGAAACAGGAGGGCCGTTCACACGCCTCCTGCGCTTCCGTGGCGCGCCCGGCCAATCAGACACCGGAAAAGTCGCCATAGAAGCGCCTCACCTGGGAAACCACCAGATTTCACCAGTAGCTTTTTAAGCTGACGGGGAGTTGTTCTACCACGAGGTGGGTACGGATGGCTGTCGGGTGCCAGATGTGTGCGTCTGATCATGCTGATTTGATCCGGAGGGGAGGAGTGACTGTGTCGGGGCAAACCGCCTGTGTGATCACAGCCCATGTCTTGCTTCACAATAGAGTGTTGCATGAGAAATATACATTTAAACCCAAATATGTTCTCCTAATAAGCCCTGGCAGAAGCATGTTATAGAACCACTCTATTATAGTGCTTTGTAATTTTTTCCAACACTTACAGAGCAGCACCAGCTGCTATTTTCCTTCTGCTCACAGTTCTTTGGATCTTACCCATAATAATAATTGCCACAAATGGCAGCATATGCCTTTCTGCATTCTTTTTGTGCAACAAATTCAGGAAGGCATAAGAAGTCAGGGCATAGCCTGGATGTCCATAACTACAGAAACCTAAATAACTATTCTTTGGACAAAACTGATACATTGCACGTAGCAATTTAGTAAGTTACCACTCTTCAAGTTTCACTTTTCTATTTATATTGCAGTCAGTGCAGAAGTCGTAAGGGATCTACTGTCAAACAAGATGCAAGGAAAAAGTTGTCAAATGGCCAAATATGGGTTATGGTGCAACAACAAAAAAAATCACATTCTAACAATACTGAATTTGGCCCACTTCCTTCAATTTTTGCTACATGAAACACACATTGGAAACACAGTATTGGACATTACAATATATCCAGATCATAGAAAGGACATTAAGTAGTTCTGTTGCAGAATGTAAAAAGTCAAAGCGAGATAAACAGACATCACGCTCAAGCATATACGAGTTAGAAATGTAGAGACTACTCATTTGAGGTATTTTGTGTGTGTGTTTTTACAAAAAAATACTGGACTATAAATAAAGTATTTTGACATGCAAGCTCCTTTGTCTGTCTCATTGATTATGTGATTAAATAGCCAGATGCCTCATGGACTTCAAAAAGCCCCTCATTAAAAAACTGAAACAAGTTTGAAAGAGGTAGGAAAATCCTTAATGCAGAGATAATTTGAATAAGAAATCTGATTTTTCAGTATTAAATTTGTGAAATTTGTGATTCAAATTTCTAAATAATTTTTAAAAATCATATCTATAGCTTGTTTCAGGTGGGGATTTCAACTTTAGGGGGGATTTGTTATTATATAAAGTTTGGTGACAAAACTAGAATCTGAACAGAAGAAACTAGATTTTGAAAATTGATCAACTTTTAAATTGGCAGAGTCTATTTTACTAATCTTTTATAAAGTTGCATTTGTTCAGATCTAGCCTACAAAGTGATCGGCATTGCTTGGATCTTTAAAAGAGTGGTTTGTCAAAAATGGAGCACTGAAGTTTATAAATAAAGTATTAACAAAGTATTAAACATCAGAAAGAAAAATAACTCGGCATACCAACTGCATTTACAGCTTATTTTGTTTGCACTATTTATTTTCTCTACAGCTTAGAAATAATAATAATAAATTAACTAATAATGACTCCAGTTCAGAGATTCTTACAGACATGTAAGGGAGGGAAATTCTTCCTCACTAATTAACTAGTTAGTACTGTCCATGACAGGAAAGATGGCCTGTAAAGAAGGAAAGAATGAGAGGTATTTGGAATTTCACCTAGGCACATGCACATATACCCAAATGTTCAGAACTGTTGGGCAAAGAGGACCATAGCCAGAAAGAGGATGTGTGAGCAAAAACCTGCAGAGACAGGCAAAGGACGATACCTCAAAGGCAGAGCACATGATATGCATGCAGAAGGTCCCTGGTCCAGTCCTTACCACCTCTCATTAAAAAAGAAAGGGAGGGCATCAGAGAGCATATTTGAAAGCTGCTGTTAGAATAGACAGTAATTAGCAATAGTATGATGCCACATAACATCCTATTTCCACCTATGGATTAGCCTTCCTGAAGTGGAGCCATTATTTTTTTCTGCTGAAAATTAATCATGATATTTAATAGGATTAAATAATTTTAGGATTTTACAGGAATACCAGTTCTTAAACACGCTCATGTCTAGTTCTTCAGTGAAGCAACTACACTAGAAGCTTTAAACATCTATAATAAGAGTCTGTTTAAACAATCCCTATTTTAAAAAGTTTAAATACTTTTATCACTTTCAAGCTGATTCTTAAATGCAGGGTAGCTTTAGCTAACTGCTTTGGAAAAAATAAACAGCCGTAATCAGAAAACTTAATTATGCGTATCATTTACCAACAGGAACAAATCCTGGTGGAGTGATGGCAAAGAATCCTGCAAATTCTCATCCAGTTAATAAAACAGAATGAAAGAGGATTTATACGTACAACCCAATCCTGCACAGAGTCAGACCCATCTAATTGAATTGACTTCAATTAAGGGTGTAGGATGCTTAGGATTGCACCAGTAGAGACTTACAGAATTTCAGAAACATTTCTAACCTCTTTTTGTCATCACCTTGGATCCAGTTCTCATGTGAGAATTTCACTCACTCAATTCCCAATAAGATCAGTCTTTTAAATAAACCAGTACACATATATACATTACACAGAAAAGTGAATTTACACAAAGCACAAGTCTCTCACTGCATGTAGATGGATATGTACTGGCAGAGAGAGAGGAGTTAGGCATGTGGCATCTTGATTCAGGGACAGGCATAAGAACCCACTGGCAGTCAGCGTTCCCTCTAAGCTGTGCGTGTGAGCAGCTGCTCATTAGCGCAGAAAGCCCTGCTCAGCAGCAATCTGGCGCTGTGCAGGGTCCTGAACATCCCATTGCCCATTTTAAGATGACAGCAGTTAATTTTGCTCAGGATGTCAACTGCACCACTCAGGCCCCTGCCACATGTGGGGAAAAAGAACGGGCAAAGTGCGGCTTTTTAAAGCCGCACCAAAAGAAACACGCAGCGGCGGGATCACATAGATCCCCTAAGCCGCTGCGCAGTTCCTCCCCGGCACGATCAGATGCCGGGGGGAAGCTACGGAAGGGGGAGAGAGGCTGCCGAACTGTGCATGTGTGAGCAAGCACAGTTCATCCGGGAGCCTGGGTTGCTCCAGAAGATGAGCATGCCAGCGATCTGACGGCTGCGCTTGCTGCGGCTTATCCAGTAAGTCCTCCTCTGGGGGTGGTTATTTTTCCATGCGCATTTTTGGCCTGAAGGGCCAGATCGGGGACGAGTGCACACCGATTCCCAGATGTTGCGGTGTGCTCGCGCCCGTTTGCTCCACCCCCGATCCGTCCCTCTCCTGGGCCAAAACCTCTCGTGTGACTGGGGCCTCAGTTGAGGGAGAAAATTAGCGGAAACATTGCTGGCAGTCCTACTGATCTGCAGGATTCTATGAGCCAACCAAACCAACATTCATTAAGGATGTTTAATTTGATTAACAGTATTACCCTCAGCCTATTTAAAAGCATATAACTATTGTTGCTTTTAAAACAAGAGTAACTCATAAGAGATGCAAATAACTAGCTTTGAAGGATTCCCCTATATCCTTAAGCTGATGGAGAAGTTCAGCAATTCCAGCTCTTCGTCAGTAGCAGCACAATACTGGAAGAAACTGCACATATTGGAAGAACCTGCACATTCTAGGGCAGCTATCAGACTATGGAGAAGCTGAATCTACTTGGCTCAAGATTTTGTATCTGTTTTTGTAGCAGAGCCATAAAACTAGTCATTGAGGAGTTTTGAATAAACATGCAGTTAACACGTACACATCAATGAACATAAGTGAATTGACAGCAACCAGTTTCTTGCTCTGGAAAAGAGGCCAACTGTGCCAAAGAAAGACTTGCAAGAGTCCAGATATAGTGAACCATAATCAAAGAGGGTCTTTGATTTCAGTACTTAATAAGAAATTGCCTTATGTATTGTAAAGTTCCTTTGAATACTGTAACTGTGACTCACAATTTGCGTTCTCAAAGGGAATTTCCCCTTTAAAAAAGAAACCAAAGGGGATCATGTTCCCGCTCTGTAAGCTCAGATTTAGTTCAAAGAGCATTTTTGCAAGAAACTGATGCCTGTCATATTGTCCCACAATTTGCCTCCAAAATGAGTAATAAAAAACCCACAGAAGGGTTTCCGTAAAAACTAAAAGTACAATGCTTAGTTTAGAACATTGCACTCGGTTACAGAACTGTAGTAATTCCCACCATATTGCAATGCCTTTTGGAATTGAAAGCAGCATTCTGGGCACTGCCATCCCTTTTCTTTTCAGAATTCGAAGCAAAGTTTCATCTCTGTTTCCTACCCGACTCAAGGGAGAGTGCTGTCCATTCAGCCTGGTTCTCTGTATTCTGTGCATCACTGAGAGTCCTAGTGTTCTACTAGAAATAGCTCAAGTGCAAATACCACATGCTAACGGCAGTTTAGCATGTCTGTAACTGTCATGAATATGGCTTCTAGGAATTAGAAGGCATGGCAGATACTTAAATCTGAAGCAAAGGCAGAGGCCTCTCTTCGACCTGGTTGAGTCCTGTCAACAGGGAGAACAACAGCTAAGCTAACAAACTCTTTTCTTCTTAGAAATGTCATCTTCTTTGCCTTCTCTTGACTAACAGGAGACCACGGATACCAAGATAGCTTCTCTATGGCTTCTGGCTTGGGAGCTTTTTGATGTAAAGACATGCCCTAAAGATATCAAGCATTATCTCATCGCTGTCACTTAGCCTTGTAAGGTCCCTTCTTTGATCTGTTGAATGAAGAGGTTTCTTTCATCCTCTGGTGTCCTCCCATTCTGGGCTCGGACAATGCAGGTGGGCCTGTGCAGATTGAGCATGTAGATCAAATGCTGCTTCTCATTCTTCAGCTCCTCTATCTGAGCTTTCAGTTCTGCATTGATGGTTTCCAGTTTTTCTGATTCCTAGTCACAGAAGAGTTATGTAAATACAAAACCGAACGTTTTACGCAACAAATTCAAAATAATCTGACAAGTATTTTTTCCCCACATGACTGTGGTGGGGTGTGGGTTGTAGAAGCTGAGGTGACAGTTCTGTGCAAGGATAAGTGGCCGCCGCAGGAATTCCCTGCAAACACTGAAAACCTGCCCCTCCCCCCCGGCCTCCTGGACTAAAGTCCTCGTATTTTGCTTTGCCTGGTGCAACCTTCTTCTATTGTCTTCACTTGTCACACCCCAACCCCTTGACCCATATCCAGAATTCTGCTGCTAAAGTCATTAACTTCTCCATTGTCCTGACTATGTAAAGCTTCAGTGGCTTCCCATCCCTTTCTTCATTCGTTTTGTCCTTGTCTTTAAAGCACTTCATGGCCTTGCCCAACCCCATTTTGCTCTCAGATTATTCTGTCTGTTCTCCCTCACAGCCCTCATTTGGCTGGAACTCCCTTCAGAATACGGGTGTAAAATACTATGTCTTCCCCTCAGATCCCTCCATTTGACTAAGCTCGTGCTGAGCTCCTCCAGCCATCCTTCATAAAGCACAGATGTGTAGTTGCATTTGGCCATATTAGGAATAATGGTGATTACTGTAACCCTGTCACTGAAGACTTTGCGGTTGAATCTTTCCCCACTGGATTGCTCTCTGGATCAAAATCAAATCTATGGGGGATCCATTGAGCAGTGTGAGAGGGATGCATACCTTTTTTTTTTTTTGCAGTTTATTCTTGGCGTAGAGATAGATCATGAACACCAGGGAATTTTTTTCTTTAAATTCCTGTCAGTGTTCACTTCTGTGACCCCAAGATTCAGAGATCCCAGGGAAAGTGCCCTCAGTTGTTTCAAAAAGTTTTTAAAAACCCAGGAAACTCGTTTAAAACTGCTGGTATGCTGAAAAGCACTTTTAAAAAGTTTTTTACACATTTTTCAGCACATAGGCCTAATTTTGAAAGGGGTTTCCTTAATTTTTTTTGTTTGCTTGTTTCTACGATAGTAAACTGTATAGTAGTGTTCTTCTGTAACACAGAAATTTAAAAAAAAGAGAGACTTCAAAATTAACCATTTATCCACCAAAAATCTTATGTTTTCAATTTAACTTTTGGAAAAAGAGCCAGTTTTAAAGGGGGTCCTGTTTTATTGTGTTCTGTGTTTCAATACAGGCAGACCCTTTCCCTAGTATTGTTAGGATTATGGAATCTGAAATGTAGGGCACATCATTCTCTATTTAACACCTGAGTTTTGCTCCTCAAAGGACTACAATATTTAACAGAAAACTGGAACAAATACTAATTAGTCTGGAGGAATATGCTCACTTCTAATTCACATCCATCAGTTGTTCTCATTGCTTCTGTCCTCACTTTGTTCTCTCTCTATTGGCTGCAGTCACATGGAGCATTAGCCACGCTACAGAGATGGAAGATAGGCGGATTTTCCGGGCGCGATCACACCGCAACATCTGGGAAGCGTAGAGCTCCCATGGCGAACCCAAGGCTTCCCACCGAAGATGTGGAGTTAAAAACTAGTACCTCCGAGGTACTAGTTTCCGGAAACCGCGGGGCAAGGGCTGGCATCTGATCGTGTTTCTGGTGGTGACATCCGGCGCCCGCCCATGTCACTTCGCAAACAGTTTTCCCCCCCCCCAAGTCTCCACAAGATGCGCACAAGCACCCAATGGTGCATGCGCACAAAGAGGAAAGCGAAATTGCCGTTTCGGCTTTAAAAAAAAAATGACCCCGTTTGTCATGGCAGCAGTGCCTAGCCATTGCTGGTGTGATTGCGCCGTGCCACTTCTCTGCCGCGCTGCAGGATCGTCATGTGATCGCCAACCTCGTTTACCCACCGGCGCGGAGGGACGGACTTGTGATGTGCCGCCAGCGCATCTGATCATGTAATCGCGGATCAAACTGCGCCGGGGCAATTAGCCAAGCCTCCTCCCCTGTGATATCCGGTCTGTGTGACCGGGGCCATTATAGACTTTAGAATGTAAATTCCTCAGGGCAGGTGTCTGTCTTTGCTTATTCTGTAAAGCACCATATTGTATATGGATAGTGCTCTATAAATACAAATCTAATTGATTAAATACCCCAGTTTTGTCTAGAAAGACTAGGAAAACTATCAGATATTGGCAGTAAAACTATCAGACATTAGAGCTGCTGCAAGCTTTAATAAGTTAAGCAGTACAGTTTTAAAAGTTTTACTGCAAGGTTAATATTGTCTCTCCAGATATTCAGTGTGTCTGAGAACAAGGGTGTAACAAGAGCCCAGAGGTACAAGTCAGTGAAAGGCAAAAGTGAACCACATAAATAAATCATATCTTAACATAGCACATGTAGGAATCCATCTTCAGTAACTCAAACATGAATACAATAATCAACCATACAATTCAGGCAATTTCAGTGCCAAACTATGCCATTTATTTAGGCATTTTTAACAGAAAGCCTTTTCCAACCACCCTAGATTCTCTTTCTTGCCTAAACACATACCGACAGAAATGATCAGTTAGCTTACTTTCTGCAGACATTCAGTTTTTTCCTTCTTCTTATTTCGACATTTTGCTGCTGCAATCTTGTTTCTTTCCCTCCGTCGTCTTTTCCTTTCATCTTCCTCAGGTACACCCTAGAAGAATTCAAAGAGAGGCATGTCGTTCTTTTTGTATGCAAAATATCAACGTCTCTGCATTAACTACAGTCAGGATGAAACTACTAAAGTGACAAATCTCTTTGCTACCAACAAATGAGTGCTCTGAATTAATCATAAGAAGCTGAAGGTCCACAAAAAAAATACAATCATGAGGAAGGGGAACAATTCAGAGAATCCTAGATCTGAGGGGAGGGCATTTCCAAACTCTCAGGGCCTGAACAGGCTGCTTTCTGCCCCCCTCCCCCTCCTTTAACTGATACAAATCTCAATATTTCATCCCTTCTTGAGCATACATTTTGTCTTGGGGGGTCTCTTTTCTCATTTATAAAATCATACCATACCTGAGAGGTCTACCGAATTGTCTGCAGGCAGCCTGGTTTTGCGGCTTTTGTCAATTACATAGGGGTGAACCAGTGTACAGATCTGCTGCAGCATGGAGGCCATGTAGTAGATGAGGCCACCATGGTTAGGGCTCTAATCCCATACAAACATCTTTAAGAGTAGTTTCTAGAAAATATTCTCTAGCTGGTGCATAATGTGTCAGGGTTCATCTTAGGTTTGTAATTGTCGGAAGTATTTCTGAAGATTGGTAGTGCTAACTGCACATGATTCTTGTGATCCACCCTGAGCCCACTTTGGGGAGGGCTCTAAATAAATTAATAAATAAAATAAATCTCCGAAAGCCATTTCAATGGCAGGGCTCAGGCCTGACATTAATAGAATGCCCCTAAAAACATGAGAGTGCATTTTCCTCACCACTGAGAAACCACAGCCTACATCCTTTCCCCTCATTTATGTGGGGACTGTGGAGAAGGCTTCCAGATCAGATGTTATTGTTTCCAAACTCAGAATCCTCCAAACATCAATTATAAAAAACAGAGACAATTACAAACCTAAGAGTAGCATTAACCTTACTTAGACAGCCCAATCTACAGACCAGTTAGACAATAGCTAGGTTCAGATTCAGTTTGCCACTATTAGAACAAGACTGGTAGTTTAGTTCCAGTTTGGAATCCTGGTCTGCAAGGAAGACACAAGCCATAGCTTTCCTGTAAGATGCAATGGCAAACTATGGTTCATTGTAAAACAGAAATCATTAGACTGTCATATGCACGGGGAAGGAAGGAGGGTGAGATCTTGACAATCCCTCCCCTTGTTCACATTCATTAAGTTCTAACATTTAATTAGATTGCCAGTACTGAACATGAAATTTCTTTTTATTTAAATGGAGTACCTCTGCTTTAAAGAGAGACGTTTCACCCAGTCTATCAGAAACAGTTACTGTGTCCAATGTGGAGGGCATCCTGTGGGATAGGCGCTTATTCTGGATAGCAAATCTTAATTCTTCTTTCACCAGTGGGTTTAGATTAGGAAAGTCTTCAAATCCCAGAGATACTGAAGGAGACAGGCATGGAACAATTGCAGAGGCACTGACTTCTGAAGCAGATAGCTGACCTGGGTGTTGGAGCATCATTTTGCTGAAAGTAAAGAGAAGAAACCAGATTAGTCTTTTCAAAGTTTACCAAGATCAAAATATTTGTCAAAAGACTGTTAATTCTCAACTAAGAGACAAATTCAGAAAACATGGCCTTTGTACATGGAATTATTCCAGCAATTCTGGGTTGTGACTGAATACACATGCTGAATACAGAATGGTTGTATAAACATACAAAATAGTTGCAGTCCAACTGAAATACTAGAGACTCAGAGTGGTGTACAACATTTTGCCTTAAAAACCCATTAGTCTAAATATACAGATAAAATACAAGTCTTAAAACAACAGATGGTGTATACACAAGCATAAAACCTATATGACGTCACAGTGCAATTTTTACCCCTGATGGCAGGGGAGAGGGTGGGAGGCAGTTATCTGGCCAAACTGTTGCTGTCCTCAACCATATGCTTGGTGGAACATCTCTGCCTTACAGGTCCTGTGGAACTGTAATAGGTCTTGCAGGGCCCTGATGACATTTGGCAAAGAGCTCCGGATGCTCCTTGGGCCAGGGACTTCCAGCAGATATTGTTCTGTAGAACACAACGCTTTCCAGGCACATTGGTCCCTGACTATTTAAGACTTTAAAGGTCAGAACCAAAACCTTGAACCTGACCTGGTACTCTATCTGGAACCAGTGCAGCTGGCGGAACACAGGTTGAATGCAGGCAGTTAATGGTGTCCCCATGAGGACCCAGGACACTGCATTCTGGACCAGCTGTAACTTCTGGATCAGCCTCAAGGGCAGCCCTGCATAGAGCAAGTTACAGTAATCAAGCCTAGAGGTGACTGTTGCATGGATTACAGGAGCCAGATCAGGGCGAGACAGGCAGGGGGCCAGTTGCCAGATCTGGTGTACTTGGAAAAACACCAGTCTGACAGCATGTGTGATCTAGGCCTCCATTGATAAGGAGGCATCCAGAAATACACCCAGGCTCTTAACCATCTGTGCTGGTGTTAATGAAGCATGGTCAAGAGCTAAGAGTTGGTGCCCAAGTCCTGAATCTCCCCCACCCAGCCAGAGAACCTATGACTTTGCTGGATTCAGTCTCAGCTGACTCTGTTTTAGCCACGTCACCACAGCCTCCGAACCCTCAGCCAGGTTTCCTGGGGTGGTATCTGGCCACCCATCCATCAGCAGTTATAGCTGGGTGTCATCAGCATACTGATGGCACCTTAGCCCAAAACTCTGCATCAGCTGGGCGGGAGGGCGCATATAGATGTTAAATAACATCAGGGAGAGGCTCAGTCACCTTTGTCACTCTGTGCTGAAGAGATCACTGACTCAAAGCCGGAACTGTTGAAAGCCACCACAGGCCCCCAGACTTAACATGTCACCCCTCCAACCCTGATCCAAATCAAATATCATAACAAAACAAATAAATTGGCTGGCTGTTACTACACATCTAATAAAAGGATCTGCATATCCATCTGTCTATCTATTTGTGGCAGGCATAACTTATCAGAAAATAAAAGTAGGAAACTCAAAATTGGCCACCAGCTGCAGAATGATCATGGTAGTTCCAAGGCTAAAAATGAAAGAACTGAAATATGTTGGCCCCGGTTATGTCCAGAACCCCGCCACACATACGCATACTATGCAACAAAAGCTAAATGTATAGTGGTTAAAGTGTCAAACTAGAATCTAGGAAACCCAGGTTCGAATCCCTACTCTGCCACGGAAGTTTGTAGGGTGACCTTGGGCTCATCATACACTCTCAGCCTAACCTACTTCACAGAATTGTTGTGAGAATAACATGAAGGAGAGGAGAATTATGTAAGCCACTTTGGGGGAAGAGAAATTAGAAATTAAGATAGATGAATGGCAGATCATGAAACGAAAAGAGCAAAACAAAGGAGGAGAAAAAGTGTGGGGGAAAGTTAGAGAAGTGTAGGAAAAGACAATGAAAAGGGGTTTTTATTATTTTACTACCACACACTAACTAACAGGGCTGCCCATTTGCAAGAACTCACTTGCAGGAGCTGGGTGGAACTAAAGGAAAAAGGAAACCACATAGACCTTATTAGGAGGCTGCATCCTGGCAAGGACTGCAGCTTGTCCTGGCTGGTCTTGTCTTGCTCCAATGCTGGTTTGGCTGATGGGTCTAACAACCTCTTTCCATCAGCCTCTTAGGCCCTTTCTGAATTATCCTTTTAATCCATGTTCACTGTAGTGTCCTCCAAGCGATTCTGCACTAAAATCGATTCAGCCTTCTTTTTAATCCAGGTTTTCCCCCCATTCTGCACTAAAATTGAGTTCAACCTTTTTATACCAGGTTTTCTCCCCATTCTGCTTTACATTATCTCCCTTCAGTGGTCAGCCCAGTTTCAGCCTGCTGTCCCCCTGGGTTATTTGGATGCTGTTTTGCCATGGACATAAATTGCCTCAACCCAAACACTGAGAAAATCTAGAGTAGCAGGCAAATGCGGAAAGGACGTGAGTAAGCTTTGCTAAAAGGCCCAGCCAACATGTTCTTGAGTGCTTTTTACTGTGCTTGCCTTTCCTGCGCCCCTAGGGGCTGTAGTCAAAACTGTATCATATTTTATTTGCATTTGGTGAATGCAGCACAAGGTTAGCTTCAGGGGCCCTCCAGGTGACTTGGGTTGGGCCCCCCTGAATTTTGTCCCCTCAATCCCCCTCCTGGTGGCCCTGCTCAGAGTAATACTAAGCAAGTTCTTCTTACTTATTACTTCTAAATCTCATTTTATTCACTGAGGCTTACTCCCAGGAAAGCATTAGGATTGCAGCGTCAGTGTTCAAATTAATACAATATTTGTTTCTTGGAATAGTTCCTGAAGAACTCCATTTTAATGGAGGAAGCAATAAAAACCTGCCAGACCTTATGGCAAAATCTATTACAATTAGTTTCACAATGGATAATTTAATTATCACCTTCGGGCACTGATGTACATAAATGAAGCTGTCATGGACAGCTGAGATCTGATTGATGTATGTAATTACTGCTCTAGGTGATGGTTTGAGCAAGGCAACCCTCTTTACATCAGCTACACCCGTGTAATTTACACCCATGTACACACCAAACCAATTTGCTTATGACAGCCCTCCCTTTTATATTTGCCTTATTCTTCGACAATCAGCGGCCGCTATGTACATGACAACAGGTTGTCATGCGTATTGGTGGTGCACATGTACACGTACATGCAAAATATACATGCCGTGGAAAACCTTGGCCAATCATGACAGAAAACAACACATGCATTTGGCAATCTGGATATGGGGTTTCTGTTAATTTCAACACAGATGTATTTTGTATGTAAGAGTTTTATTATATGCAAAGCAAATAACAGACAACTGGAAAACCTGCTTATTACCAAAGAAGAGACGATTTCCTGGCATTGTTTTCACAAACCTTGGGGAACTTAAGTAATTTTCTTCAGAAATCCCCTAGTTATGACTCACAGCTCAAATGCTGATATCCTTTAATCCTTCTAAGGTGTAGAAGATACTTTGCTGAAGTCAACAACAGACCCAGAAGTTTCAGCTGAAGAAAAACTTTACTCTTTAGCTTCATTTCAATAATAAAGTAACAAGGTAATAATAATAATAAATAAATGTCTCCAATGATTAAATTCCCAACTGCTTATCAAATCCTTATTCAAATGCTCATTATTAAATAAATATCCTTATTAAAATGCACATTCGTCAATATGTTTTCTTGATTGTGGTTATCGTTTTATTTCTCATGGGTAGCTATGAAGAACCCATTCATATTCAAGTTTATCTTCAGAGAAATAAGAATTAGGAATTTGCTTTTTAGTACAGCAGGGTTCCTCACGATGCTGTGTTCTAGGAATAACCTCTGCGCAAAGGCGGGAAACAGGAACACACAGAGGCCCTAATTATAACCATGGTTCATAGCCAACCATTGCCAATTTCTGAAGCCTGATTCTACATGTTGGCACTACTGTTGTTATCAGAGCAAAGTTCTGAAGGCTTGGGAAGCAGCCAAGGCTGCATTACACTAGTTCCCTGGAAGAAAAATAGCTGAGAATGTTGGCCATGAAATACGGCTTTGAGAAGTACTACAGCTTTGGGTTGTGGTGATTCTATCTCAACAACCATGTTGCCGTTAATATATATCTTCTATTTTATTTCCATTACAGGATTCTTCTGTCCAGTGATCTTCCCTCACCACTAATGACAAATGGCCTTCACAAATCTAGGGTTAAGCAGAAAGGTTTCCAAGTCAGGGGGTTGTGACATTGGGAAGACATGAGCTCTGTGTGATTATGGGCTTCATCGATGCTGATAATTATCCCATGCAGGGCCTTTGTGTGTGTGTGTGTGTGTGTGTGTGTGTGTGTGTGTGTGTGTGTAATGATATCTTTGTGCTGTACTCAGTTCTCTTACGTTCTGAGTGGGAAAATTGGTGGAAACTGACACAACCTTATAAATGAGTACTAGCACCTTTGATTATAAATGAGTACTAGCACCCTCTCATTTGATTTTGTGACATTAGCATCATACCCTGTCTTCTGAAGAGCTGAAAAGGGGGTTACCATAGCATTCCTGTGGGTCAGGTTAAGCTGAAAGGCAGAAAAGGATGCCACAGCTGGTGCCAAAGCTGAACAAGAACTAGAACTTGGCTTTCTTACTTTCAGACACAGTGCTCTATCATTTATACACACAATCTACTACATACATTTTGCTGGTATGGTCTCTGTTTAAAGAATCATCATACACAGTTTGTGTAAACCAGTGATCCCTGATGTGACATCAATAGGCACCATGAGGAGGAGGAGGAGGAGAATCGATTTATACCCCGCCCTTCACTACCCAAAGGTGTCTCAGAGCAGCCTACAAACTCCTTTCCCTTCCCCTCCCCACAACAGACACCCTGTGAGGTAGGTGGGGCTGAGAGAACTCTTGACAGAAACTGCTCTTTTTCAAGAACAGCTGTGCCAGAGTTATAACTTGCCCAAGGTCATCCAGCAGGTGCAAGTGGAGGAGTGGGGAATCAAACCTGGTTCTCCCAGATTAGAGTCCGCGTACTTAACCACTACACCAAACTGGTGCCCACCAATTGATTTCCTGGTGCCCATTTGCTCCTTTGCCAAAGCACCTTTTCCCCACAGCAAAGAGCCAGTCCTGCCTTTCTTCCACCTCACTGGAGCAAGAAAACCCAGAAATATCTGACTGAATAGTAGGAGGTTGCTTGGCTCTCAACTTCCCAACATTTTGTGATTGTTCCCAATACTCAATGGCAGCCATTTTCTAACTGGCCCCAGCACTCCATGGCAGCAATTTTGGGTGGTGGTGCCCATTCCCTGTTCTCAGTGCTCTAATGTTGAGTTCCTTAATCGTCTATGAAGTTCACTTAAGCATAAAGACAGGGGACATCTTTCAGCATCCAAGAATCTGCACCTCCTCTAAGTTGAATATGAGATAGCTGCAACTGCATTTTTTTGCCCTTTAGTAGCTTATGTTCACTATATCACATAAAGGTCCAAAGGGAAACATTCCAAAACCAATTTATGAAATATTGTATACTGATTTTCAAATAATTTAAATTCAAGATCTGACATACCCCTCCCCATAATGTGCTCCTCTATCAAAAATGTTCCATCTCTTTGTCCACAATATCCTTTTACAACAGGATAACAAAGATCCACGCTCCATCTCCATTATAAAGTTATAGATCTTAAAACCAATACCATATAACTTAAACCATATTTATACACAAGGCGCTCCCTTAAACTGTCTTATTTTGTTTAGTGCTTAATATGATCCAGTTCTGTACACAGGATGCAACAGTGGGAGGGCTCCTAGTATCCTGGCCTCGCCGCTGGACCTCTTGATGGCACCTGGTATTTTTGGCCACTGTATGACATAGTGTTGGACTGGATAGGCCATTTGGCCTGATCCAACATTGGCTTCTCTTATGTTCTTATGATGCAAGTTATCTACCTAGCCCAGTCTTGTCTACCTTTAATAGCCACTGCTCTCTGAGGAATCATGTCAAAGTCCTTCCAGCACTGCTGCCTGAGACTTTTTAACTGGAGATGCCAATACCACCCTGTCCTTCTAGATTGGCTCCGTATTGTGGGATCATATGCCATTTATAGCTTCATTCCAAGTATCAATAGAGGTGCCCCGAATTTTCCATCTCATTTGCCCACACATTGTAAAATAAGGGTACTCAGCTGAGATTGTTCAGAGCCACTTAAAACTTCTGGCAGCCATGCAGGCATTCATTGACAAAAGAATTCCAGTAGATTCCCGCATTCCCCCTCACCTCTCGTTTTCTGGATTCATGTTTTAGATCTACCTTCCTATTATGTTACATTTTATTATTCTTAACTCAAATACTAACAAGAATTCACAAACTATTTATTCTAGAATACTCATGTAGGTATAATGTAGAACTGAAAATGCCAAAGATTAAATTATTGGACAAGCTGGATCAATTTTGGCTAAGTTGGTTGACATTTAAAAGTGTTGCTGTTATGGTATAAGGCACCCTGACCTCATTTTGATGTTCATCTTGTTTCACGATATGACATTAAAACTTATTTTTTGTCTGACAGCTTTGGTTTTGTTGTTGTTGTTCTGAATGCTTTCCTGTTATACATCAAGATCAATTAACAATGTGTTAATCACACACATCTTTAAAAGCGACTAAAGTTCATAGCCACCCTGAACTGAATTTGACCTTTTAGGATTTTACATTGCAGAGCAATTTGCTATGTTTATCTGCTGGTTTCCAAACTGCCAACTGTTGATTTCTGAAGAAAATCAATACCCCACCTGAAGCTGCTCTTTGTCAACCATTTTCAGTAGTGCCCTTACAAAGTTTTGCTTAGTTAGCAAATAGAACAAATGTTTTTAACTACTGGCCTTACTATATGGAAAAGGAATACTGATAATTAACAATCAGTTTCCGCTGTGAAGTGTGTCTCTTTCCTTATAATTCTTCTCTCAGTACATTTCACATATTACGTGATCAGCAAAACAATACTATGGGCAACTACTTAAAAGCAAGTCCCATTGGAATCAGCTGGACTTACTTCCAAGTAAATGTCAGATTCGTATTGAAGGACATGCAGCCCAATCTTAGCAGCCTAAAGTCGTATGGACACTCAGTTGCCTTTGCCGGTCCTTCCCAGTAAACATAGGACGGGGCTCCACAGCACTTCTAGCACTTCTCCTGACTTGCTGTTATATAAATGAAACAAAAAATTAATTGTATCCCCATTCTTCACATAAAGATTCACTACATCCATAACTTGAAATGACTAATGTTAACAATGAATTCATCTTCAGCCACTCTTGTGAACTCCGGGGACCCAAGTGCCCAACAACAACTTAAACTAAATCGAAAGAACCTTCACATACTTCTGTCGCCGTCTGTAAGGTCAGCTATGTGAAAGGACCAGAATCGTCGTCCCCCCCCCCCCCCCCCCCCCCCCCCCCTCTCCTGCGTCGCTGTCCTCCCTCGATAGCGGCTGCCTCTCCACGAGCGCGCCGGAGACGCGGGGCAGCATCCCGAGAAGCGGCGTCCGTTCCCTCTGGCAGGGCGCCACCCACCGGCAGCAAAACCATCTCCTTTTGAAAAGTAGCTTTCGCGTTTTCCCGGAATCTAGCCATCCCACAACTTACCATCAGTGAAAGCTGGATCATTTTATAGGGTCCAAATATTCTCAACAAAAAAAACCCCAAACCCCACTACGGGAACTGTTGGCGACCACTCTGAAAGATCATCCCAAGCGAGCCCGCGCGGCCTTTCGGCAGGTAAAGAGAGACAATCGTGAACTCCAAAACTGACTAACTTTTTTTTGTTTATGACCGAGGAAAAGCGGGGTCCCGCCCTAACTCCCCCCCGAAGCCAGCCCCCCGGGAAGGGGGGAAACTCTGTCCGACGGCAGCCGTCAAAGCGGCTGAGGCGGAAGCGAAACGACTGCCGAGGTGTGTTCTTTGAGTGGCCAGTCAAAACTTCCCTCGGATGAACGAACTTTTGCTCTCCGTTTAGTCTGAACTTAAACAAAACAAACAAACAAACAAAAACCCCAACCACCCACTCCCCCAAACCATTTGCCTAAGAAACTTTCCCTGCCGGTCCCATCACTTCTCCTGCATTTGTTTGAAAGAGTTCCGCCCCGCCGAATCAGCGCTCGCCAAAGTTTCAGGAGTCCCGGGAGAGCGACCACACTTTCGCTTCCTCCTCGCTGCCTTACCTGTGTTCTTCCTCTCCTCCGCTTCGTCGTCTTCTTTCCAGTGTTTGGGGCGCTCCGAGGTGAAAGAACAAATCACGAGAGAGGGGGAGGAAAGGAGAGCTTAAGGGGAAGTGAAAAGACAGACAGAAAGAGAAAGAGAGAGAGGTGATCTGCGGGCTGCTGCTACTGCCGAAGCCGGTGCCGGTGCCGGTGCCGCGCCGCTCCTAAGCGCTGGACAGCAGCTGCCGCCACCGCTGCCTCCTCCTTCCGAGCGCGCCTCCGACTCTCTGGCTGTCGGCGCGGTTGCATCACCCCCTTTATATAGGCACCCGGGCAAGCGCTGCTATTTACTCTGGGCGCGAGTCCCCGGCTGATGTCATGCTATTAATAGCCTCTTCCAGCCGGGAAGGGAGGCGAGGGGCGCGGCCACGGCCTCGGGTGGGCGGGGCCCCGGGGTGATGCAAGGCTTCCCCCAGCACTGCTCCCCGGGCGAAGGGGGGGGGCGGAGCCAGGCCTGCCCGGGCGCGCAGCGTCACGTTCCATAACAGGCCGGCCGGCCGGCCGAGCGAGCGCCTGGGCCGGGGGCCAGATGTGAACTCCCTTCGCGAGCAGCGGCATGCTCTCTCCTATGAGCCAATGGTGCCCAAGCCAGCCCATGACTCCAGGTCCCTGGCATCTCGCGGCAAAGCCGGGCTGGGCAAATAAGAGGAGGCTGGAGGTGGGACCGGGGGGGGGGGTTGTTTCCCCCCCTCGCCCCGTTTTCATTAAGGGACAGGGCAGGCAGGGCATCGAGAAGGCACCTTTTAGGAGATGATGTTTTGCCATTTTATAGAGCTATTTAAAGGACAGGGGACCGCTCCCCCCCCCGGGATCTGTCTAGACTTGTGTGCGTGTGAGAGAGACTGTGACTAAAGAGACTGGGCGTGTGGGTGCTATATGGGGTGTCCGTTTCTGGCCCTTCGGAGGCTTGTCGATTCCCCCACTGGGTGGTGTGTATGATCGAAGAGGATTATACCCACTTTGTACTTTACAAAGCGTCTGAGACACACAACCATCAGGATAGTTTCAACCCCTGGGTTTCCATGATAGTAACCCTCGCTCCGGATCCAACACCTCTTTCGCTAAAAGGCGTCTCTTTCTTAGACAGGCAGCCGAATACAGGAGAGGCGCAGACGACAAATTTGGGTCAGTGGGACAACTGAATGGGGAGGGCTCTTTTCTAACTGCTGCATTTCGTGGCGAGAGAGAGAGAAAGATATAACGCGGCCTCACCCTCCGAAGCTCCCACGATATTCCCCAAATGCTGACAAGCTGTCAAACGTGCGTTGGATACCTGCGGGTCAGTCGCGAAGATGCTCCCAGAGCCGTTTCCTACCGCCGATGCTTTTTAGCTTATTACAATCCTCGATTTCCTCTGTTAAGTTTAAAAAATCGAGTGTTATCGTCACGCCGTCCAATTTTGATTTTAAAAATTACCGTTGCGATACTCACCCCTTGACCAGGAAGTTAGTTCTACTGAAACGAACTGGACTTAATCCAGATCGGGAAAGACCTGCTTTGAACTGCCATTAAGAGTATCCTGAAGCTTAAGAGTACCTCTCTGGGTATTCCAAAATTCCATTTACTTCCATGGGATTTACGCCCAAGTAAGTGTACCTGACATTTTGCAGCTAAACCATTTTCACAATTTTGATGGCCATCATCATCATCATCAACAACAACAATAACCATAGTAACAGCAACAGTGATAATGTCTGTCTGTCGTCAATTTCGCTTCTTCCCTGCCTTTCGAATGCGAAGAAGGACCGGTTTAACCAACGTCCTGAGGCTCGGAAGGGGACCGACAGAATACAAGGGGAGACCACAGCAAGAGCTCTCCCTTTCCAGACTAGTTTGCATACTTTTCCATTCATCTTCTCTGAGTTTTGAGAAGCCAGGAGAATACAAAGGATGCCACCACAATAGGCTGCCGGGAGGCGCTCGCTTTGACGCATTTCCGTCCGGGTGCAAAGAAAGGCGTACGCACCGGTGAACGTACGTGTATTGAAACCAAACCAAACCGCACTAGTAAGAGTCAAGTACCTGAGGCATTGCACGATTAAGGTCAGGGCTGGAGATTTGCGCCATCCTCGGATCTCCCTCGGTACATTCGCTTGCAAGGAAGTCCCGTTGACCTCGATGCAACTTGCTTCTGTGAAAGCCTCCTTAGGATCTTAGCCTAAAAAGATGCCTGGTCGATAGGTACTTGGCACCACTGCCTCTGTAATCAGAAAGTGAACTTTCCAATGCTTTGCATCTCTCTCTTTCTCTCTCTCTGGACCCTCTCTCTAGCCTAGTAACTACATTTCCACCTGTGCAAAGTCTGTGATGCAAATGTACACCAACATACCTTAGCTAGAACTGATGGGGAGTGTGGGGGAATCCACAGGGTGCTGCTGCCAACAGTACACAGTCTGTTGTTTCTCTCTTTGTTATCTGTTGCTGCTCCCAAAATCTAGTAACAGGATTTTGGATTTATTTTTAAACACAATCTCACCTGTCATTTTGAATATTGTGGCAGTCAAGAATACTCTAGCTTTAAAATAGGTCTCTTTATTGCCAAGTTTTTCCTAGAAAATAATACCAAAAAAGAGAGAGAAATGTATCTTATTTGTTCACTTTTGTATTTGACACATGACTAGAAGAGCTTCTTCATCCTAAAAAGAGTTACACCTTTTAAAGTCCATTACAGTTAAAGGGCTATTAATGCTATAACTGTGCTAGTGGAGGTGCAAGGTTATCACGGCATTTTGGGAACAGGTTTTAAATTGGGTTTATATTATGATGGAGAGCAATTTTGGTGTAGTGGTTAAGTGTGCGGACTCTAATCTGGGAGAACCAGGTTTAATTCCCCACTCCTCCACTTGCACCTGCTGATGTGACCTTGGGGAAGCCATAGCTTTGATAAGAGCTGTTCTTGAAAAAAAGAGCAGTTTCTGTCAGAGTTCTCTCAGTCCCACCTACCTCACAGGCACTGTTCCCTCTAAGCTGAGTTAATGTGAGTTAGCCCACAGTTTTTTAGCCTCCAGCTCACACATTTCTGTCTTAGCTCAGGAAAAATGGCTCCAGAGCAAACTAATTTATGCAGTAGCCAAATCACTTGCTCACAACTTTAATGCCAGTAGCTCACAAAGTAGAATTTTTGCTCACAAGACTCCACTGCTTAGAGGGAACATTGCAGGGTGCCTGTTGTGGGGAGGGGAAGGGAAAGAAGTTTGTAAGCCACTCTGAGACACCTTTGGGTAGTGAAGGGCGGGGTATAAATCCAAACTCTTCTTCTTCTTCTTTTAATATACCTATGGAACCAGAACTCTTATTTCTAAACTACTGGTCAGATCTAGATATACCAAAATCTACTAAAGAATTAATAGCCACATTATTGGCTGCAACAAAAACAGCTATAGCTGCTAAATGGAGAGACAAGGCAGGGCCTTCCATAAATATGTGTCACAATAAGATATGGAATCTATATAATGTGGGGGAAAATCACTGATCAAATAATTCAAAGTAATAAGGATATGGATATATACTCAAATTTGTAGTAAAGTGATTTCTTGTATTAGGTTATCTTGGTATGCTTCAAAGTTGATTGATTTAAATTCGGTGTTATGATCCACTTCTCTAATGCAACATGGTAGAGAAGTATTTTGGTATGACATTCTATGCATCTTGCATGTTCAATATCTTTCTTATCACAAGGTTGTACAATACTGATGTGTTCTTGCTTTGTATATATGCTGTAACAAACTCAATGTTGAAAAAAACCCTCTGCTTAAGAATGCAATCACATTTTCTCTACTTCTAGATACCAGCATGGTTATATATTTGGCTACTTATTATTTGAAGTTATTAAAATAGGCAATTGTAACCAGTGGTGAATTGCAGAGTAGATAGTACAACCCTGGGCAGAGTTTTTCTAGAAATCACTGGGCATAGAGTTACTTTGCACAGAATTCCACTGTAAGAGTTTGGCAGAATTCAGTATGATATACAATACAATGCTTAGCAGTTACCCCCTTTAAACCCACTGATCTCAATAGATTTAGAAGGCTGTAACTGCTTAGGGTTGCACTGTAAGCGCTCTGCAGAATTATATCCATGTAATAATAGGAGATTGACAAATGTAAGGTTTTATCTTTTTGTATCACTAGAATGACATTGTAATTTGTAATAATTCTGTTCATTCCATTGCTAAGCACAGCCCTTAAACTGATTTATTTGAAAGCATATCTAATCCATTCCCACAGAACTTACATGAAAATAAATGTGACGCCTAAGGCTGCAATCCTAAACACGTAGACTAAGAAATAATTCCCACTAAATTCCATGTACCTGACTTCTAAGTGAACACTTTGAGATCAAGATGCAGAGTGTGACACTGCTACACAACTGAAGTTGTACAAAGGATCTGTCCTTTGTTTGAATAAAAATGTCAATGTGAAGAGGCCCAGACAAAAACCAAAAGCCATGCACCAGTGTGGCAGAAGTTTCTCAGGTGACCTTCCCAAACAGCAGGAGAGATTTGTCTCAGCACAAAGAGAGTTAGGTGCCAGCCAGGCTAGGAAGGACTGGAGTAATTGGGGAGCTGCTACCATTCACAGGGCACAACATTAAACTAAAAAGAACAATGATCTGGCTCAGAGGAAGGGAACCTCAGGTGCTGCTATTCATTTTTTAAATTCTGCTAATTTCTGTTAGTAGATAAATACAAACTTTCCAATTGCAAGGATTCTCTTTCAGTAGACATCAATTCCCATAGAATGTTGTTTTTGGTTTTTTTTGCTAAAGACTAGTGCTCTGTGTTATGCACTCCTCAAAGAAGAAGGTTAAATGGAAGTGTCATTTGCCTTCTTTCATGGACCAATATTACCACTGCAGTCTAGAATGTGGAAAAGGCAAAGATACACTGCCAATCTGCCTTTTTAGGGAATCTATCAGAAAGTGCATTCATTCCTTTCTATACCTCCACATACTTCATAGCATTGAAGCCCTCCCTGTTATGTGATGCCAAGTTTACTACTGTAAACTGTCTATGAGGGGATCAGATAGTTGTAGCCCCTAGAATAATATCCAGAGAACATGTTCTTGGCCGACAAGAATACAGAAAATTGGCCCTCCTTGCTTTAAATTAAATGAAAATAAAACATACCTGTCAGATAGCAACTAGTGGTAGAGGATGCCGAATATGGACCTCCTGATGGCACCTGGTATTTTTGGCCACTGTGTGACAGAATGTTGG